TGTGTGTGTGTGTGTGTGTGTGTGTGTGTGTGTGTGTGTGTGTGTGTCTGTGACTGTGTGAGACACAGAGAAAAAGAAAGCCTGTGTGGCTGTGTGTTACAGCTTGATGAGGTCTTGGTCTGTGATTCCTTGGGGAGGTGGTCCAATCTAGGCTTTATTAGGCCTTATTGAGCTGTGTGCAAGCAGGTGTGTGTGTCTGTGTGTTTCCTCTATCAAGAACATTTGGCAGAGCTTTATGAGTACCTTTGTGTGTGTGTGTGTGTGTGTGTGCGTGCGTGTGTGTGTGTGTATGTGTGTGTGACACCAAAAGACACCGAGTTGGTTGCAGTTTAATGGGGTGTGCATGGACCCGATTTCAAGCCTGTAATTTTCTTCTTAGAGGTGATTTTTTTTGGTTTGATTGCATCATTTGTGTACACAGGCACAGCTATGCTTCTCAACCAGCTATGCTTGGGTCTAAGCATGTGTCATCCTGTGAAAAAAGACACTGTTTGCTGTATGTAGAATACAGATCGGATTTATTGCTACATGACAAATAATCGAGTTGTGGCCTGCATTCTACCTTGAATATCTCACAATATTTTTTTCAAATACATAGAGAAACATAGATACGGAATCTTTATTAGGTCCTTGAAAGCACAGATGCCATGCATATTTTTTTCATTAAAAAGAGGAAACAGACATTTTTTTAATCTAGTTAAACAGGTGAGTGATTATCCAGCAAACACAGTAAAAATTACCTGTATTCTAGGCGGGTTAACTATAACTGGTAGCTAGCCATTAGTACAATGTTCTAATGGTGTATGTCTGGGATTTGCAGCTAGTATAAATTCTCTTCAGGATACCTATATGTGTTTATGTTGTATTATATCTTTTTAAAAGATGACAGTTTCAACTGGGATATTGACAAAACTAAACGCACGCTGTGATTCACTAGCTTGTAGAATCATCTTTAGCAGTAATATCTTGAAGAAATCGTTTTCTGTTTAACATCATCAGATTCCCACGGTTGCTCATGTACAGCTCTTTTAAGGTCCAACCACAGCATTTCAATCAGGTTGAGGTCTGGACTTGGACCTCAAGGTCGGAGCCATTTTTAGCATTTTATTTTAGATTTGCTGCAGTGTTTGGGATCATTGTTCTGATGAATGATTCAATTTGGGACGAGATTTAGCTGCCAGACAAATGGCCTCGTATTTGAATCAAGAATATTTTGGTGTACAGAGGAGTTCATGGTCAACTCATGGTGCCCAGGTCCTGTAGTTACAGAACAACACCAAAGCATTATTTCTCAATCACCGTTCTTGACAGTTGGTGTGATGTTTTGATGCACCTAAATGCTCCAGACCAGCAAACTGCCAAAACTACTGCTCTTACAGAGGTGGCCGCTGCTGCTAAGCCTCTTAATTCCTATGGACACAGTAAATGTGTGCTTAGTTTTATTTGCAGGACTCCAACAAAATAAAAAAGACAAAAATCACCAGTTTGTACTGGGGTATGTTTTGTCTTTGTTTTGTTTTCATAAATGGCGCATATGGTAAAAAAAAATCGAAGGATACATATGTGTATCTATAACGTACACCTGTTCTGATAAATGCTTGACAAGCACAGCGTGGCCAAGAGCGGCACACAATTAAATGAAAGAAATATTTATACTATTGGCAAGAATTACAGTATAACCATTGTATTTAATGACGATCGTTCCCAGTACTCACGGTTGGCAGAGTTTGATGAGATCCTGGTCGGTGGTCCCAGGTGGCAGGCCTCGAATGTACAGGTTGGTCTTACTCAGCTGCTCCGCCCCTCCCTGGCTGCAGCTGTTGGTGCTGGGGCTGGGAGGAGCCATGGGATGAGGGGGTGGAGCATAGGGCTGCTGGAAAGAGAAGGTAAAGAGAAAGCAAGTCAATACAAGGTTTCATTTTAAGACAGCAGGCAGAGTCAAAGCATTTAAAGATTCTCAGAGCATGATTATGAACAAGAATATGGCAGCAAACGCGTATTTGCTTAAAGGAATGGGGAAGTGATGGCAGCCTTAGTGGGGAATGTCTCTGTCAAAGCTTCTCTGGTTCTCATTTTAGCAGCTGGTATGGATTCGTATTCATGTTACTGTGTGTGAGTCCCTCTCTTTGAAACTTCTGGCCTCCCCAAAATTTATAAAGAAACTAAGAAAGTGACCTCCTGCATGTCATTATTAAAGAGAGATGGCAAAATGCATTTCAAGGTGTTCAGCTGTTGCCAGTAAAAACCAATGAATATAAACAACCACACAGCAAAGTTTCTCTTTTTTCAGCAGGGGATTGTTTTTTTTAAAAATGCGTGTGTGATCATTGGTTGTTGGACTGAGGGTGGGCGACTGGAAAATTTTGACACATCATCCAGCCGTAATCCTACTGTTCTGATGTTTACAGCAGCTTTAAAAGACAATGAGAAGTGAGGTGTGAAAACATTTCTTAGACAGGAGCAGAAAATGTGAGAGAGAGAGTTCAAAATGTTTCATTTGAAGAAACAGCAGGCACTGCCAGCACAATGTCCCCGCAATCGCGAGACGAGACATTTTGGGGCAGCTGTGAAGCGGCGAGGAGAAGCGAGCAGGGTCACTACGAGATGAAAACCCAGGAGAACGCAAGTAAAAGTTTCAAGAAAGCAACCTTAGCCTCAAATAATAATACTGCGAGGAAAACATCTTCACGTAGAGAAATAAAAAGGTCTACACAATGACAGGAAAAGTGCTTCGCTTCTTTCAAACTTTTGTCACCTTCCTGCTTAATAAAGCAATAGATTATATCTGGTTTTGTAACTTTCTGGGCTTTTTGCGCATATGCAACTGGAGTCGAGGGGACAAACATTTCTTCATTTTGCATCTTAAATAAACATTTCACCAAGGTGACTCTCTGATATTAGAGTTCACGAGGCTCCTAGCAGCTTATGAACAGTTTTAAATGATGGCAACTTCCTGCTTTCTACTAATACCCTCAAAACCAATTTCATTACACTGCGAAACAATTTACACCTCAGAGGGTGTGAGATCCTGATGCAATAATCCAGTACAGCCTATTTTATAAGCATCTCAATATGAATGAAATTTTCAGTTTAATCTCCATCTCACAAAATGTATTCAAAATGTATTAGAATTATGATGCCCCAACCCCTCCATTTGTTTTTTTCTCCTTGCCTTTCCCATCTCCTGCTTTCCTTACGTGCTTGTTGTGCTGTTAGCATAGATTTATGGTATAGGAGTCAGGGCCCCCCGCTCACAGCCCATTTATATCTCTATTGCAGGGACACTGCACATAGTGACAGAGAGAGAGCCGGGGCCCTGCGGGCATGAACAGAGACACAGAGACAAAAAGCGAGGGAGAAACACTAAAAGAGAGCGAGGAAGGAAGTGAGACGGAAGAAGAGCGAAAGAAACCACACTGCAATAAAGTGAGTGAGTGATGAATGAAAGGGAGGAGAGAAAAATGGTCAGGGAAAGAGGGGGACATGACTAAATACCACCACCAGCTCCAGTTAACCACGTTAACCCTTATCTTCCCTAGAGAGAAGCTCAAGCCCTCATACCATGCTGTAAAACCCCCCCCACATATCCACGCACATACACCTACACGCACACAGACACACACACACGCCATTAGCCCTCCAATCTGCCCCACACGTTAGCAGCGACTGGCGGAGCATGGCTGATTTGATGTGCTATTTTAAGCGTGTGTGCCATGCCAGCGTGTCGCCTCCCACTCCTCAGACAAAGAGCCGGGGTCCCTGGAGCGTGAAGAGGGAGCCACGTCCATCAATAGACGGCCAATTACCACGCTGAGCTTAGTGGAACTGATGGGCAGCCACTCACTGTGCTGGACTCACCCACACTGTACACATGTCGGCCGTTGTGCATACGCTCACACTCACAGACACACCTATGCGCCACATGATAACACAGAAACAACCTTTTTCAGAACAGTCATCCACAGCGCGTTAATATTAAAGCTTTAATATTAAAGTGAAAACAACTACTGTTTTAGGTCTACGAATGATGATCATCAGAATGACTTTGTACATTTAGGGAGTCGACGTCCAAGTTGAAAGAAGTTTGAAATTTAAATCCAACTTTCAAGCACACAGGTCCGATCACCACAGACACAAATTTCCCTAAACTTCCCCCATCCCGCCCCCCACCTTGCCCATCTGGTAGCCTTGGTTGCATGGGCATGAATGAAAAAAGCCAAACTAGTCTCCAGTCATTCAAGTTTCCACGCTGTGGCAGTATAGAAGAATCTTAATCTCTCGAGTGCCCTGTGGGACTTGTTTTTTCTCACTCAAATGCACAGCTGCAGTCCAAGCCTTGACTTTGAGGCTTTCACCTTAGGTCCCCCCCGTCCACTCGTTAGATTTTTCCCTTAGTCCGCTGCAGTTTAAAATACACACATGGTAATTACCACACTGTGTGACTCCAACAAATTCGCAGCACAAACGAGAGACACTAGACAGAACCTCTTTCAGCGTTCAGTGTTAATTAATAGCCCCTCTCTCGCTTTCTCAGGCTTTCTCTCCCCCCACTTCTTTGTTAGCCCCCATGGTGACACACACAGCCCTGACTGTCCTTCTCGGGCTCCAGGCTTGGCTTCCATGCTTACTCTTTGGAATTCATGTGTCCCGCCCTATCGATTTGCTTTCATTTTTCTTTTTAAGGTCAGAAGCTGAAATCTTACACAGTGAGGCATGGAGGGTCAAAACCAGTCTAATACTTACAGGGATGGGTTAAAAGGCAGCATGCAAAGGTATCCACTAGGAATCCCCTGGGATGAAGAACGCAGTCTGTGCTAAAGGCCTCAAAGGAATGGTTGACTATGCGGTTGGGGGTGGGTCAGGGTGAATTTAATGGCACATTTTTAAAAATACTACTTTTATTTTATATCTGGAAGAATGTGGTACAAGTTTAGATATGTTGGGTAAAAACGAAATGGAAAAAGCTCCGCGAGAGTTCCTCAAATCTAATCATTACTCAAGTAACTCCATCATTCTTCTATGAAGACGATCCTAATATCAGCTTGCTGTGCTGTGTAGGAGCCATATATGTAATTTAAGTAAGATTTCTGTTTAATCTTGGGGCAGTATGTGAACTTTTAAATGCAATAGATCCAAGACAATCCTGGACACAACTGGTTTTCTCTGCAGCACAGACACCCACACACACACACACAGAGCACAAAATGTTTCAAACTCTTTGTTTTATATCCATTTCCCTCTTTGCTTCTGCTGGTCGCTGCACTAGAGGTTAATATCCAGGCTTGTTTTTCTTGCCGGACAGTTTCATGACTCCTGTTTACCCTTGGTCTGTCAGCCTGCCAGATCAGGCTTCTCAAATATATTAAATACTAGCCTCATGTGTCAGAATGATGAGGACTGAGTATAGCACTTGGCAAAGAGTAATTTACCAAAAAGGGGAGGGAACAGAAGACTCGCGGGAAAAAAAAAGGATGGGGAAAAATAAAAAATAAAGAAAGGTAGAAAGAATTAGAGTGAAATAGAAGGGTGTGAGAAAACCGCTGGTTATGACACTTCAAAAACCTCCAGGTGGTAAATGAGAAAAACCTCCGTTCTGCCTCCTCCCTACCCAGCTGTGACATGCCGCTACAGAGGCTTACTTGGGATTTCAATTTGCTGCACTGTATTTTAGACAGGCAAAATGGTTTACACAGGCCCAATTTACCGAGCCAGTCGTGAAGGGGGGCTCACAGCCTCTGTGACACGCCAGGGAATGTTTATGAGTGTATTAAGTGAGGATGATAAATCTAGCCTACGTTACATAGGCTGAAGGCGCATGGCGTTGTGATGTATATTTACACACCCACACAAGGACAATGCATTTTTTCCCCTAAACCACAGCTATATGCTTTTTTTTAAAACCACTGCTAGACTTATAAAAGGCTTAAACCTGCTTTGGTCACTGCGTCACATGCATGTTTGTGTAGTGTTTAACAAAATCGTCCCACTGTGAGAGACGGTGAAAACCAGTGAGCTTACACAATGCTTAAATTCTGACTCAACTTCTTAAAATATTTTATAAAACTTTACCACTTTGTGAATTTACCAACCCATAAGGGAACACTTAATCTTTCACTTAATTTCTAAAATAAAAAAAATGAAGATAAATGGTTTTCAGTGGAGGGAATTAAGACAATAACTTTATAAAGTACAAGGTTAAATTAAACATGCACTTCAGATTTAAAGAATAAGGATTAAAACAGAACATTTACTTTTTTTTTTAAATTGTGATGTAAAGTCTATGACAAGCTACCTTTTTAGATAGCACCTGGATTGCTGGCTGTCCCGATTTTAGAGGTGATTACATGTTCAGATAAAGTGGCTTCTTACTTCTATCAAAAAAGTGTGAAAACCTTCTTTGTGACTACACATAGAGAACAGAGCAGAGGGCAGCCACAGCTGTAATTGGTATAAAAGCAGGCTTATGCCATCCCTGTCTTTCTCCCTTCCTCCCTGCACTCCGCAGGGCAGGGCTGTGACTGGAGGAGAGGAGGCTGCACACTAGCGTGGTAATTGGCCTTGATTTATAGGAGGCCAGAGCAGCCAGCGAGAGCTAGCTCAACACTGGCACTAGGCCAGACAAGGCCACGCTGTCAAAATCAGTAAACCAGCCTAACCCGGCCCAAAGCCCCCCATGGCCAAGACACCACTACTGGGAATCAGTCGTCACCATCCAAAGGGTGCGCACATGCGTATGTTCTTGTGTTATTGTCTATTTGATATTCTTTGGGTTTGTGTATTTGCTTGTGTTCAAAAAGTCACTCGAGTAACACACACACACACACACACACACAGAAACTGAAAAGAGAGAGAGAGAAAAAAAGCTGCCACAAA